TGAGAATTATTTGGAGACAGAGAAAAACTTTGTAAGGAATTTTGGACGGATGATATATATAATAATAATGCAGATGAAACTTGTTCGGTGTGCCACGTTCTCTGAGAACTATACAAAGGCACAGTATTACTGGAATTTTAAAGCTTATATTAGGTGATGCGTTGCTTGAATTAATTAATTATCTTGTCCATCCATATTCAACGAAGTGGTTTGACAAAAAATTACGCGATGACAGTCGAACTATCATCTATCATTTTCTTATTAGAGATGCCTCAATGCATAAAATTTCCGCTGAAAACGAACCAACAAATATCAAGATCAGATTCTTACCCCCTCTTAATACGACAACCGAACGTTTGGAAAACCGCAATACTTTTGAAGAGTATAACATAAAACATGCAATTATAACGTGTTCGACGCATAGAACAATGTTGATAGAACACAATTAAAAACTGCTGGCTAAAAACCGGAATTCTTCCGACATTTTGTACCATACTACGGCCATAAACCGGGCAGCCGAAGAGTTAGCAATGGAGGCAAATGAGCAAGTACAATAATTCAGGAACTAATTAATAGAATGAAATTGTCTGACCCATTGTACGCTATAGTGGTAATGCTAGACATTTATTTTAAAAATTATTAGTATTTTATGTCACTAATCTGTTTAAACCACAGAATTGACAATGGAAAATGCGAACGCTTGACGACGATGAATACAAGCATCGAAAAAATTTTTCCCTTAACGAGAGTGAAGATGCCATGAATTACGTCGTTTGTCTTTACGTAAACCACACGTTGCTTATGTTAAGTTCAAACGTAAGAGTTGAATTATCGAAATCGCGCCTATCGTTTACGTACAGCTTGGGGGGGGAAACCTTGCCCTCTTGAAATTTGAGAAAACGCTGTGAAGCAATCAATTGCTGAAAAAAAGTAGTGACCGAACTGATCTTATTTTTAAATTTTTATCAATATACAGACAGTGTGTTGCGCGTAGGTCTGAAAAATTAATAACAAAAGGAAAACGCGATTGTTTACGTGATCTGCAAAAGTAAACCACCCTTTTCCTTGACTCGAACACATGGTCAACGCAGAGCTCGAAGCACAGCGTCAAACAATTTTACATTTTGGCTAAGTGAAATTCGTTCTGCCCAAAGAAATACACCAAAATACAAAAATTTCTCAAAACAATTGAACATAAGTCGTTTTCCCAGGGTTACACAAAGTATATTCCCGTTCTGTTGGACAATTAATTAGTTCATCATGACAACACGTCAACTTGCTACCACCAGTACTGTCTTTACAGATAATAAGGCTGATCATAATCACTACTATCGCGAGGGACTTTTATTCACAACAAGGTGATCATAATAACTACTATCGCGAGGGACTTTTATTCACAAATAATAACTACCCCAGTAGCACCATCAAAATTATTGTGTTCACATGCAAATTTTTGCATGTTGGCCTTAAATTAGAGAGTTGTGCTTGCAAAGTTTTTCGGTCATATGGAGTTTTGCGTTCTTTTATTGTCTACACCTACGATTGAACGCTAAAGGTGTACCTTTTTCGGTCATATGGCCGGGGTACTTGATTATAATGGATGGTCAAATCTTCCGTTTGCTAGAAGATGGCGTCTGCAACAAGGTACACAGTGACTCTCGATATATGAACATTTTGGTCCGGCCCGACGACGTCATATTATCGAGAGCCACTGTGTAATATGATCCTTCACGTGTTGCAAAAGATTTTTTATCCCGAAACAAACAACATTCATGTAATAAATAGTGGCCCATCTTTATAAAACAAAAGAATTTAAATATTGAGTGTAAAATTTAATGGCTTATATATATCACAATCGGGAGTTTTCCAAATTTAGACGATGAGATCGTATTTTTTATGGGGATAAACCAATTGGAAACTCCGATAAGTCGGTTTTTTGGCCTAAGTCGGTCAAACTTTTCAGCCCTTTTTAAGTCGGCCTCACTTGACATTTGGAGCATCATTACTATTTAGTCGATAGATCATCCGATAAATTTTATTATTATTTGTACTTGTATGCGCAATAAGCATAATAAAGCAATCAGAATATACAGATCCTTAACCATAATGAAAACGTAGATCAGTAAGTGCGCAGTAGCAGTTGATGCTATATACGGATCATTTTCGTAAATATATTATCTGCTAATATTAATACACCAATATGTTTATATAATAATATAGGATAATGTGGAATGAATGAATTATTCCAAATAAATAAATATCCATGCTAGTTTGCGTTAAGAAGTCATTCTCTTTTTATTTTAAGTCTTAATTAATCCTGAAACGAATGAGTAATAGTGGTGTATAATTGTTGTTTACAATACAAACAAGAATCAAGATCGATAAAAGATCTGCATTTAAACCGAGATATGAATAACTCCAGACTGTATTAAATCCGACTTAAACTGGGCCTCCGTTTATTCGAGTTGAACCGAGTATCTGATTTGGTTTATTTGACTTGAGCCGGTTGTCCAACCAAATATCTATTTAAATAGCCTAAATAAATCGATTTATTATTATACATGCACAATATTTATTAACATGGGACAAATTACGCTTTAATGATTATGTTTCTTTATTAGCAATCAGATTATACCATCTTGCATAACATGTCCGATCAATTGCTAACAATATATTGTGTAGTTTCGGTGAAAACGTTAAACGGTTTAAAACTCCAAATTCTTCGAAAGCAGGCGGCAGTCTAGTATTATTAAATACTTTCAAACCAATAAAATCGAGGTTTCGAGTTCTTTATTGATCACACATGGGTGAACTCTTATTTAGTGTGTGTTCCAATAAAATTGGTGTATCACGAACCTCGTTTTGGGATCAAAATGACAATAACGATAATGATAATTCACGGGTTATATAAATAATAATCGAAGTCTGCAGAAGCTACATACATTGACAAGCAAGTTTTCATGAACAGGACCGATTGCATCATACGCCGGTTTTTACTTTTTTGAGTAATAGGATTTTCGTTTCGTCTATATATGAATTATACTGACCGCAAGAATTTCAATCGATTCTTTGGTCAGAATGGCTTTGCGTGATGCTCATACATCAAAGATGTTATTAGAATGAACATTCTTAGTATTATTGTGAATAGTCATAAACAGTATAACAAAATTTAGACACCAAAATTGCCAGAACCTAGAATTTGAATTGAGAAAGCCCATTTTTGGAAGATTACCTAAATTAAGTTAAACTCGCTATATCATTATATAATTAATAATCTAGCAGTAGAATGTATTCGAAGACATTAATTGTGTCGAACAATATCGTTAAAACGGGGGAGAAATAAAAAATGTTAGCTGTCTGTAATAATGCAGAATTACTTCATTTGAATCCGAATCCGTAAAACCCGTTAAATTGGTTCAATTTTAAATTCGATTTTACTTTTTTAAGAAATGATATTCGGGTTGGAAATTTAAATCAAATGTCTCTCTCTCTCACAAATCCGGTTGTTGAAAATTCTTCATAACCGGTTGCCCGAATTTCGAATGTTCGATTTAAACTGGGCCTAAAAATAAACTTGGTTTATTCGAGTTAACAGGTTTTCGTCTAACCGATTGTCTGATTTAAACCGCGCTAAAAAATAAACTTGGTTTATTCGAGTTGAACCGGCAACTATATTGCAAAAAAGACTGACTACCTAATGAATTATCGATTGAATCAACTAAAGTTGTACGATACTTAAAATGGTGGCAAAATCATAAAATAGTTTACCAGTTCTTGCACAATTGGCGAGGGAATATCTTTCAATTCCTGCAACTTCAATCCCTTCTAGAACGCGTTTATTACCGAATTTAGTAAACAAATTTTGTTTTTAAAGAGAAATTCGGAGTATGTCGTATAATAATCAATACCGTACAGTTCCGAAAATAAACACCGAAAATAAGCACCTCCCCAAAATTTTTGTGTTATTGTATTTTGAGAAATAGATAGACTCATCTAACCACATTTTGCAAAAGATCGAGCGTATGAACGCTTGACACAACGACGAAAATTCCTGCTGCAGTTTCTCCAGCACCACCACTCTAGCCTTCCAAAGATGCCATTCCTTGCGAAGGTTATCTTTAAGGGGTTTATTTAAAATGTTTTGCGTTTCTTTTAATCACACTAATACTGGTTTGTTTTACTAATATGGTATTAATTAACACTAACTGTTCTAAATGTTTCTATATGCTTGTGATTTTCTCAATTTTGTTACACAAAATCTAACCTCCGAAAATAAGCACCCTCTATAGTCAAAGGGGTAAAATATATTTCTACACTTTCCGGTATCCGAATAGTTCCTATATAAATACACTATCCATTATAAAGAGAGCCTTTCTTTATACACCGTTTCTGGTATAATAAAAAGTTGAATTTATCACAACTGTTTTGATTGGCCGCAAAAACTGATATTAAATATGTGTTCAAGTTAAGAAATATACTAACCGTTAAATCCATTTTGGTCAAAAATAAACTTGATAAGTTCAGCCGAGATTCTAATTATCGGAAAAAAGGGCTGCCGACTTATCGAGTTCACATATTTTTGATAGCTTCCACTAAATACTAACAATCGCTTAAATTTCACGACATACAGCCCACAGTTGCTCATCGGTTCGAATATGTTGATTTACATTAAAATTTATGCGTCCATCTTTAGTTTGCTCCGAAACAAGATTTTCGTTTAATCGATGTCATCTGTATCGATTCTTGGCCTTATATTATGATTTGACGTACTTAGAGACATAAAGTATATTAATTTATAAGGCTGAAAAATTCTCTCATTGTATCAAACTCGTTCTCTCTTACATAATGAAATTAAGTATAATAACAATCAACGATACTACCAATCGAGCCTCTTAATAATTTCTATACCCTTTATAAAGAAAATTTTACGCGTATTACTGCTTTCTTTTTACCTATCGCATAATATCAATTCCTTATCCACTATTATTTCAACGATTAGTTCAACCACTCGACCATTGTTGAAGTAACTGTGGCTGGGAAAAGACTCTATCGTTCAAATATTTCAGAACACTAAACGAAGAAAGCAGTCTTCCAATTACTCTTCACGTTCATGTTTCTAACCTTTCTTCACACATTAAAAACATATGTATACCTTGGAATAACCGCACGCGATTTAACAAGCACCTCATCCCACTCTTCCTTTGCATCCGATAAATGCAAAATTGCTCCTCCGGCACCGACAGAGACTTCTGTTCCGGAATTGATTACGACAGTCCGGATAATAACAGAAAATTTAGCCGTTCCTCGAGTAAACTGTCTATATTGGTTAGACCGTGTGATGTAGGGAAGAGATATATAGCCAAGACAGCCAGAGTATACGCCACGAGGAGTGTAAAACTCTAACTTATCCAAAAGCTGAACGCTGCGGAGCTTAGGGGCACCGGTCATTGAGCCTGATGGTAAACGGTGGAATAAAGGAGAGATAAGGATTTTGGAGTAAGGCGTTCCGGAATATAACAAGTACAAATAAATATTCATCTTCTATGATGCATGCTTTACCGGGTGGGAAGCAACATTTTATGGCAGTAACACTGTCGATTTCATCTCTCAGCTGTCCGCATACTGTCGTTACTAACTGATGTACAGTCTCATAAGATTCAACCTCCATCAATTTTGGTACCTTTACTGTATGCGGCAAACATATCTGGGCAAGATCATTTCGTATTAAATCAACGATCTACATGGAGAAACAAATAGTAAGCATTCAGTATAAAAGAAAGTCTTCCTTAATAAAAACCAACCATTAAATTCTCGGCTCGTTCTTTAACACTGCTATCAAGCTCTCGTACTCTTTTCTTGTTCTCTCTTTCTGCCCCTTTCCGGCACTTAATTCCACCATCACAATTTTCCTTATCATCGCACCAACATCCCTTTGCTACTGCCATTGTTCCTTTTATAGGCTTCATTTCAACTTCTCCTAGTCTATTGACTTCAATAAACTTCTCTGGTGATGAACTTAATATAGCCAAATTGTCTACGGTGAAATTCAGTAAAGCAGAGAAGGGAGCCGGATTGTGTGTCCGAAGGTATAAATATAGATCAAGGAGGTTAGGCAAGCGAGAAGTGAGCGTGTGACGAAATTGTGTAGTCAAGCAAAGTTCATAGCTTTCGCCGCTTTGTATGTACGACTGAGCATTTTTGATTTGCTGAATGTAAGTTCGCGAAGGTAAGACTGGAGTAAAGGCAGTCTGTGAAGGTGCTGCTGCGAAAGATGGAAATAAATGGGGAGTTATTGGTTCGGTTTCTTCTTTCTCGGCTTTTGCAATAGCTTCAGATGTTTCGAGATTCTTTTTCAAGCCGCGTATTTTTGTGTCCATACGTCGAAACCATGACATACATTCTTCCATCGATATTCCGATGTTTATTCCTACTTCCTGCTCAATATCATCTAAAATGTACTCCTCAACGTTCTGACGTATCAAACAACCTAGCCATATATTTCTTTCACGGTGATCAAATATTACGGCCTGGGTGGCGAATATAAAAGCAGCATCTGGTTTGTGGTTTGATACTTGCTGTTTGCTAGGTACCACATATCCGGGCAGTGACTCTATTTTCATCTCGTATCCAAAAAATCCAACCATGCCCAAATGGAAATCAAATGGGATTGTATCACAAATAATCTGATTGTTATTCATGACAACAGTACTTTTAATCCGGCTATTGAGTTTGTTCGTAATGTCTGTCATCCAATCCCAAAATGTGGTTGAACCAAGAAGCGGTTTTGACATAAGTCTTCCATTGGAGCATGCCAGTTGGAGTTGCTTGGTTTTCGTTAAATAAGAGACCGAGAACGAGCTTGAAGATGCCGGAGTAGATCCCATATATGAATATTGACATTGAGTGTCATTTTCCTATTTTGTACGAGATATTAGGATTAAGAAATTGGGTATGTACAAACCAAACTTATCTTTACAAACATTCATTATTCTTACCCTTGCACTGTCAAGCCACCATGTTCCAAGAGTAGATTGATCTAATGATACGATTTGCTGAAATATTAACTGAGGATCTCTCCAACAATCATCATCTAGTTTGTTGAATACTATCTGCAAGGGCGTTGTCGTATGAGATAACGACGGTGGAATACCAGCTATAGCCGGAAATGCCGATAAAGATAATATATGAGAGGGTATTTGTGAAAATGAACATGTTCCATGGCTCTACATAATAAAATGTTTCAGTTAGTATATATCAAACATTCGAACCGAGAACTACCAGTCACTGAACAACTTGTTACCCGTTTCAGATATTCTAAACTCAATCTTTGGAAATTCATCAGCAACTGATGGCCATGCTCAGTGCATATTGACTACTATATCAAAGTGATGGTAAGGGAGAATACAAAAATCAATATCAAGCTCAGCAAATCAAATCAATATAAAACACTTTTAAAAGTTTTAGAAATAACTATGCCTCAGGATGGAATTGGACTCCGTATATAGGTTTACGAGCATGTTTCAATGCCATAACCGTTAGTTCTTCGTTATCAAGAGTAGTTGCAATAACCATTAAATCTTTTGGTAGATCTGTTGAAATGAGTAACAGAAGCAGTAAATTAAGTAGTCGAACCAACCTGATTAAGAATTACTATTTTGAATGCAGCCAACCTTCGTTACTGACCACAAGACTATGATATCTTACGGCTGAAAATGGGTTTGGTATTCTATTAAAGAGGCCAGCCCCATTATGGTAAATAGGGCTCAGTCTACCGTGCATAATATTCCGTGCACGGATTATCTGCAAGCCGTAATAACGTTAGCACACATTAGGGAATATTAACACAAGTTTGATAACCTGCTGCTACCTGTGCACCAAATACACTGCCAATGCCCTGATGACCTAAACAAACACCAAGAATTGGAACATCGTCAAGCTGGAGAATACGGGTGCAAATACCAAAATCCTATTTTCAATGGAAATATCAATATCATAAGTAATGAATTTTGATCTCATATTGATGCCTATGGTCATAATAGGACACCATACCGACACGTTATCCGGTCTTCCTGGACCAGGTGAGATAATGATATTGTCAAAATGAGGACAAATATTATCTACAAAATAATCCCTGAGATCGATCTTATAAATTAACATGATAAAATACTGTATCGCGCAGTAACTGCTATCTCATATCATAACTGTAGAATAGCTTAACGATTGCCTACCATTCAAACTGATCATTGCGTATAACGACGACGTTTTTATGAATGTCTTCTTTATCCCATAGCTGAAGCAAATTGAAAGTATACGAATCATAATTATCAACGATAAGTGTCCGAAGCAAATCCATATTTTTGAATTAGGCGATGCGAGCTGGCACCCGGGGGGGAATTTGTATTTTTATTTTGTGTACTATTTTTATTACCTATCCTAATCCGTTTATCGATGTCACGTGAAACCAGTAAAATGCATTCCTAAATACAAATGCAATTTATTTAGGTGGGGGTTTATTACTCGAAATCTTAAATGGTTCTAACCCCATGTAAATGACAAAGAAAATTCCCAATAATAATAATATTATTATTTATTATTATACATTTTGCGTAAACCGGAATTTTGTGTAACAATTATTTCATACTTAATGAACATGAAAATATGAATCGTCAATCGTTTACATTGCTTACAGTTAAAGAAAAAGAGCATAAGTTAAGGTTTTCGTGATGGTTATTCTGTGCTTCATATTTATGCAACTTTATCGAATGGCTTTTGATGACAGTGGATTATTTATGTGACGAGTCAATTTAGAAGATCCCTTACTTAAATAAGAAAGGGATGGGTTATCGAGATGGGTTAAATGCAAATATTAATATTAATATGGTTATTAATCTGTGATAATTCGAATACAAAGACATCTTTTAATATTTATAACGTATTGATGTTAATGATTACGGAGACAAATATTGTTCAGCATGCAGAATATACTAGTACTGTATGTTAAATTGTTTAAAGCTGAAATCCAAACGTAAGAAATTAATTTATAAGGTGACCATCTGTGAGGTAGATGCAGATTCAAAACAATTTAGCATGTTTCGAAAAACCAACAATCTTCAGTATAGTGATAGTCCAATAGACGAAGAAAGACCACTACTTGGCAGAAACAACGGCTTACAACCTAACATACGCCATAACTTCTCTGAGAGCACCAATGCCGTCCAGTTACGGCATCATAAATATATATTCAGACAAGCACGAAGCTTGTCCTCTGCCTCACGGTATTCTTCGTCGGGGCGTAGACAAGAAAGTAAACGAGATAGTCTATCCCAGACCCTGTCAATACCAATGGCTACAGCTACGGCTTCAGTTAATGAAGACGCCTGGCTCAAAAAACTGAAAGCATTCGTCGATCGTCAAGCACAAAAACCCTCGCTTAGACAACAACTTGCCTACAAGTGCGATACGACATGGGCGGGTCGAATATGGGAGATAATAGATGCTAGCACAACCTTATTGTTTGTGATGTTATATATTTGGGTATGTGCAGAGCATGTATTACGAAGCGCTATGATTAATAGACAATCAAACCTAATTTTTATTCGATTGATCTACCATAGAATACCGGTTACGTTGGCCGTAATACGAGAACCGAGCCAGACGAGAAGATACTTCCACAGTTCTTATTAGTCTTGGATGTGATTCTTGCCACTGCAATACTAGTATTATTCATTCCGCGTGTGTGGCTGGCGCCTGATCGCATTATATATCTTCTCGGCTGTTACTCCCTCTCTACCTTCGCTTCTGTTCTACCCGTTATAGTTAACTACATCATCATCCATTTCGACTCACATACACGGGAAACTTACATGGCTGCTGAGCCAGCAGTAAGTCTTAAAAAATAATCTCAGTACTCTCCATTCATCATCTATTATTTGCAGCTCAGGCAATTATTTATTTTAGGTCTTTCTCTATCCTCTACGTTTTCTGCGACTACATTTGGCAATTTCTATTTGCGTTGCTCCTGTAAAAAGCTCTGTTATTAAAGTATCGGTGATTGCAAGGAAGTGCTTAAAAGTTGGTAATTGTCTCTAGAATCCAACTTCTGTTTCGTCATTGAAACTTTGCGATTATTGCTTACATATCCGATTGACTGGAGAACAGGCTCGACGATTCTAGTTACTTTGCTTATTGCCACCGCTTTGGTTCATTTTGTAACATGGAAGCAACATGCGGACGATGCTATGTCAAAAGAGCTTAGCTTCTATGATGCGTTCTTTTTTACCGTTGGTATGATCAGAAATCGTTTAATCTAGTATTACTTAATTATTTTATTTAACTACCGAATTATTATTTTCTCCGCGATTTGCAATAGTGGCCAGGTAAATTCGCGATCATGATTTTTGCTTTCAACCTCTCTTTTGCTTCTTTCTTGTTCTTCATTAATATACTTGGTACTAATTTGTGGTTCTGCCGCATCAGTACTATTGGAACAGGCACAAGTATTGTGCCCGATAGCACATTTACCAGAATTGTGATTCTCTATGTTATGGTTGCTGGCGCTATATTTATTCCTACCCACTTCGCCGAGTTACTCCGGTTGATTGCGCAGAAGTCGAAATATGAGCATTCATACAAAGGAGAAAGGAATCAAGATCATGTAATAGTCGCGGGTACATTTGATGCCATTAATCTGTTTGAATTTCTACGTGAGTTCTTTTGTGAAGACCACGGTTTAGCTAAGATGCAGACTCGTGTCATAATTATGAATCCTAATGAGGTTGGTAGGAGAGCGAGTGTCATGTTTTGTATTACAATCTCTTGGACTTAATGAAAAATCCTTCTCGTAGCCATCCGAAGAGATTGCAATGCTTTTGGAAGATCCTGCGTTTGTTAATAGAGTACAATATGTGCAAGGGTAAGCTTACGGGAAGCTTTTTATATGTCTCTTGTCTAAATCGCTTTTGCTCAAACGCGAATCACATAGGTCAGCAACAACAATTCGAACTCTCGAAAAGGTCCAAGCAGACTGTGCAAGTGGCGTATTTTTACTTTCATCCAAATTCACGGTGAGTGATGACGCCGAGGATGCTGAACAAATGATGAGAGCACTGTCTATGAAGAAGTACAACCAGGAATTGAAATTATACGTGCAAATGCACCTTCCTGAGAATGTTCCTCATTTCGACTTTTTAGCAAAGGATGTTGTATGTATAGATGAGTTCAACTTAGGATTGATGGCTCAGAGCTTAATCGTTCCAGGATTAGCTTCTATGGTGGCATTGCTTACTACATCAATAACAGAGACCACTTCTCGCTTTCTGAGACGTAAGGCTGAGAAAAAACCAGATTTAGAATGGGCTATTGAATATATAGAAGGTGCTACTCAAGAAATATATGCTGTTACTTTTCCCGAATCTCTGCATGGCCTAACATTTCTAGAATGTTCAGAGATTATATACTTGCATCTTGGTACTGTACTCTTCAGTATTGGCGTTCATAAACGGCATGGTGCTAAAGGTTTGACTATAGGGAGATCACCACTTCAAATTTATTTAAATCCCCAAGATTACATAATTACCGGTGGAGAAATTGGCTTTGTCGTAAGCTCCAACAGTGAGATTACGGATCGAATGATGGACTTTGGCAAACGCTATTGTCGTAAAGACCAACATAGTGACTATGGTTCAAATTGCATTACCCTAGATAGGCTTCCAAAGGATCTTTCGAACAATATGTTACCGGGAACGATTACATCCAAATCCTTGTGTAAAGATAAGAATATGGCACAGACAAATTCCAAAGCCATTAATGATAATTCTTCCGGTCCAGCAAGTCCTCAAGAGCCTTTGAATAAGCACCTAAAAATAATTACTTCAATTAATGTCAATGGAGATGCTGAGCGAGTTCCGCCTTCTCCGCTCCCAGTAAATCCTCCGACTCGTGCTGAAATTTCGCAGCTGAACATTCGCAAAGCCGCAGCGAGCCTAAATGGATCAAATTTCTCGGAGTTGGACGTCGAAAATCATATCTTAATATGTGACTGCAGCCCTAAAGTAAGGCTAATAGTAATATTCAATCTCGTATATTGAATGTTTTCACAATTTTAACTTATACGTTTCGATGTCTTCAGTTCCCTGGAAATTTAGAGATTTTTCTTAATATTATTCGACAAAAAAAGGAAAATATCCCAGTCGTTATTCTATCCTTAGTTGAGCCTGCTCTTAACGAGAGAAAACTGTTGGAAACATTTGGACATATCTATTTTGTGAAAGGCAGTCCGATGAAGCGGACAGATCTATATCGCGCAAACGTGCACTTAGCACGGAGATGTCTTGTTTTAAGCGACTCGCAACGATATAATCCGTAAGTGTCGCGTCAGAATTTTAATTCTTCCATAGCACTCACTTATGACATTACAACAATATCTATTCGCTTAGATCGATTCGTGGCACTGCGGATGCTTCCACTTTATTGGCAATGGTGAACATTGAATCCATGATGAGAGACGATTGTTTTGTTGTAGTTGAGTGTGTGGATAGAAACACTTTCAAAATGGTTGGCAATGGCGACACTGTCCGGATTGGCGAGGAATACGGTACCATTCATTTTCGTTACGTTGTATTATTTAAGCCTTTCCGGCTCTAACAGTTCATAATTAACAGTCCAGGCACTTATGTGTCCATCGTTCGTGAGTGGGCGTGTGTATACACCGTATTACTTGGATACGATCCTTTGTCAATGGTATTTACACCAACTCGATAAGTTAATCTACATAAGATGTATGACTAATGCGTAGATGCTTTCAGCTTTTACAATAGGCATATCCTAGACATTCTGAAGCAACTTATATTCAGCAATGAATTTGAGGGAAAAGATTCAAACTTCACTGCGACAAACCGCCATACTTTCAGAATAGCGCCCGGTAAATTGGCTTTTCTTAGAATACCAGCCCGATATCAAGATTGTCTTTACGAGATCTTCTATAGACAATTAGTTCGAAAACACAAAACCATTCCCTTAGGTCTTTACCGTCATGTTCAACAACGAGAAGGTCCATTCTGGTATGTCTTTATCAATCCTTCTAAAAACACCATTCTTCATGAGCATGATAGAGTCTATGTAATCGTGGGGAAAGAGTCAAAGTTTGACGATTGGGAACTTTTTGAGGATGATGGAATGGCCGACATGAGCTAGAAGAGCATGAATATGTCTACTGTACATGTACGAACTGTAGAGGGTTATTCTGATGAATAATACTTGTTTCTTTCTATGTTTGTTGCGTATTGGATCTGTTTAATGTTATCTAAACTAGGATCGCGGACGGAATTCAAATTCTCTTATAGCAATCAATCGGGTGGTATACTAGACAATTGATAGAACGTTCCTTTCTAACCCATATTTGTTGATGTAATAAATTATCTCTAAGAACATTTGAACGTCAAAAACAAGTACCATGCTTTGAATTACGTACGTACAACTTTTTCGCTCTAATCTGGAGAGCTGCTTTAACGCACTTCCATCGGGAACTTTACGAGCCTAGCGGAGGAATGCGATCGATGTAGAAGCATATGGTCAAAAAAAAATGGGACGTATTTTCTTCCTATCTGCTGCCCTAGAACCTGATATTACAAACTTGCTGTGAATCCAGAGCCCTCCCTAACATATACAATAGGATAAACCCTACTATCGTCAGATATTGATAGTGCTCTTGGGGTGTACTTATAATTATAGAAAACTAGACAATTTAGTAACTACTCTCTTTATTGTCGAAATTAAGTATTTCTTCCCGGCTCTAGTCATGACATTCTAAATCAAACCATACTTTAAGAAAGATATGCGTTCTTGACTTCAACAACATTTTCAATATTCTGTATTTCTCTGTATTGTCCTGTTGCAGAAGAAATGCACGAGTTTCCAAGCTAGCAATTGCCGTGCTTGCATGAATAACAGGACTTCTCCGGCTATCATCTATTCTCTTCCAAGTCTACTGTTTCTTGATTAATATCCTTAAGAGATATACGAGTTTGTGATAGCTATCAGGAACTTTATCTCTTCAGGGATGTCGAGAAATTCTTCCACCGGCATTTAAGTGCTTGAAGTGCGTTCGTAAGGTCATCGAGTATGACACCCACTAATCTCACTCCAGGCTTGAACGATAAACTAAGACATTTGGCCTTGATGCTTCATACCAACTTGAAGATCGAATTCTTAACCTTGCTATTGTCGATGTTTATGTTTTTAAATCAGCGCAAGCTTTCGATATTTGCCAATAACAAGAGGATCCAGTTTGTGCATAGTAATAAATGTGAATATAATGAATGTTCTTGTTAAAAGACAATACCTACCTATAAAGAGTCCTGTTTCGTACTGTCAGGGAGTAACGTATTAGAAATGACATTTTCGTCAGACTCTTAAAGTTTTCTAACCTACAGTGTTAAGAAATAAGGTGGTCAATAAAATATGTAATACATAATAATAACTAATAATAACATACTACCAATACGTATCTAGTAAACAGACTTTATTATTAACACGAAGCTGGAAGCCCAGATTACACAAATAATCTCGCGACGGAGTATACTAATACGGCATAATAATGATATTATATAAAATTAGTGAATTTTACTTCGCATTAACGAAGCAAGATATTCATTTAACCTTTAATAGCAATTGTTTGCGCTTCGAACGATATGAATTTAGGCACAGTTTATATATATTAACAAGTTTGCTATTTTACAAAAAAATTCCCTTCAGAAAGAAATTTATTATATTTTTATTAATCAAGTTTCTCCTTCTTTACGTTATCGTTGTTAACCCCAATTAATACAGTCGGAGAGATTTCCAAATTTGTAAATCAGATTCTAGAATAGTCTGCAGCCTTCCTCGCAATCTGATTGGCGTTTGACAATCTTAACATAGAAAAATTTATCAAATAAAACATACTTTTACGAATATACTCTTTCAGAATCCACGGGGATCCACGCAGGTTTACAAAGTGGTTGTCTAGATGAGTGCAAAAATAGTGCCAAAGACTTACCTTGCCTGTTCGAGTCTCTTACCAACAAATATGGTGAAAGTTAGTCAGCAAGATATGAGACGAAACAGAGTCAAACATGGCGACATGCAGCAGCTAGTGCTGCAGCAAAGAGTATAATGGAACTGGCTAAGTATTTCATGAACTGTCTGTATTGATTGACTTCAGAGAATTAATGCACTACAATCAGATTGTCGTTAACAATCTTTCATTAAGGGACAGTCTTTCATTAAGCACGTTATTAAACGAATGACTTAATTTCTTTAGATTCGGGAAAACGGAAAAAAAATAAGATGCTAACTCACTTCGAAAGTTTTCGATGTGGAATCCAAGTATCCTTGTTAGGTTCAGAATACGAAACGCTTTTGAAAGGAGTGATTTCTACCTGAAAAAGAAGCATTAAAGAAACGAGTTGGATGAACGATCAAAAAACCATATCAAGTCTGTGATGGAAATTGCTAAAAGGGATGATTTTATAATATCAATTAAAAATCATGAGTAGTTCTGTTTAGACAATCTTTTAGAGTGGCCTTTCAAATAGCTTAAATAGCTTGCTGAGCGAAATCCGTTTGTTTGGTGTGTTTATGGTAAATCGAACGGTTGATACTATATACGGATCAAAAATTTAATTGGTTAGAAAGAAATTTCTAGACTTTTTTCCCTTGTTATAAAAGGCAACGATCTGTGTTACCAAATTTGGAAATCTCCCGGACTGTAATATTAATATTAATATTAAAACCAAAACCCAAACCCAAATAACAATGATTATGGCAGATCGGATTAAAACGAAATTTGGATCCTCTTTTAATTTTAATCCGGTTTTCGTCACAATGATTAACAGGCACTCGAAATCAAATAGGACATTAATATTTAAGCTTTGAGCCGTGTAAACCGAACTTAGTATTTTTGTTGAGTGTGCTGACTTTGATATTAATCCGCACAATCACATCGCTCATTATGTCGTTATTCATATTAATTGCAAAGCAATCAATTAGCTCCAAAATGATAAATTTTAAAAAGAAGAGAGATTTTTGTATTTTTACTAATTGAAATAGTATAGATCTATCAATATATAATAGCTTCTCCTCTCTCTTCTTTATTGTACTTGTGTTACCCTAGATTAAATTATATAACTCTGGCGTCTCTGTTCTAGCTTTAGCATGATATAATGTGTAGCTGGATAATGAATTAGTGAGAAGCAATGGATATATAGAAATAAAATAATAAACAAACCCATGGATACAAAAATAGATAGTTAACAAGATTATTGACTTGGCCTTGAGAATAGTTTTATGTGGCCTTTTCTGCATGTAACTATTATAGCATCTTCGCGAAATGTTATTGAGCTTAATGGATCCGGATCGACTGATTTAGCCTGTAAACAAGAAATACGCACATTTATTAAGAATTTCTACAACGTCGGTTATATTAATAATATACTTACCACTACGGGCGGTAAAACAGCAACTTCCGACCTTGGCAAACAAGGATGAACCATGTTTGGTTCAGGTTCTGCTACGTTTCGCCTTAATGTAGTTGTTGATCCATGAGACTGTGATGCGACACTCGCACGTCGGTGACTTAATGTCTTTGGCTTATGCAAAGCATTAACACTGAAATCCCAAAGTAGTAGCTTGGTGTCTTCTCCAACTGATCCAAAACGATAGTTCTGCTCATCACACCGCCAGGGATCAAAAGCAACGCCAGTTACCCATGACGCATGACCCTGACATCTCGCAAGTATGCGCTGTTCGCGGAATGCCCATATTGTGACTAAATCATCTTGACCACCCGTGAGGATATATTTGCCATCAGGACTCCAACACACACAAGAGAAGCCACCGAAATAACTACTATACGTATCATAGAGCCTTTGATAATCACAAAAAGTAGCGGCAAAGTCGACGTTGGGGTATTAGTGGAAAATTTCGGTTTAAGCTAAACATTTACTATAGTGAGATGATAGAACTTGCACCTCTCTTGAAGAAAATCAACAATGCGAAGACAACCATCTACAGAAACAATGGCTACATGTTGACAATCTGGGGAAAATGCAAATGCTAGAAAGTCGTTTGCTATTGTCAATATCATGCTATCCTTATGTTTTTGTGCAAGAATAATAAAAGACGAGAATATTACCAGTGACAGCCTTCTTGGAAACATGCCAGTGCGATACGGGATTATATTTAGAGTGTTTCGACGGGCGAGTCACTCGAAATCTTTTTATGTGCAATCAGATGGTGTTAGGTCGGCTGGACCTGTCAACATACAACTTGCGTGTAAATCGTCCAATTGTTTTGATATGAAGAGAACTACACCCGCTTACCCTTCATCGTCATTGACACCACTGGAGGTAAAATTTTGGTCATCTTTCTCTTTGTCATAAATAATCACAGATCCATCTTGATACGATGCCATAAAGAGATTCTCTGATCCCGGAATCCACTTCACCATAGTCACAGTGGAACCATTGATTATTCCCTAGAATAAATAAAGGTCCTAATGATAAGACAAAGCAGCAATGCATAGTACCAATAATCGAGGCGTTAATGTGATCATCTAGAGTACATACCGCTTTGTTTAATCTATAGTATTTATTACACAATGGATCGAACCATATTACATCTCCACTTGAAAATCCAATAATAACGTCCAAATGATCGCATGATCGCGTAAGTTGATTGACGTCATGACATGTCGGGAACGCTTTGAAGTTAACCCGCGATAACGGCTCCTGACAATTTATCGAATTTGGCGGAATGGCATATAATCACAATGAACTATTGACAAACTGGATGCGCAGTCTTAGTAATGCCATCACGTTACCTTTGAATTGTTTGTCAGATCAGTCCAACAAAACGTACGTCCAATGTTATAGAACAAGTAAGTGTCCTCGTTCTGCCTGTTCGCCAAAATCTTTGCAAAGTTTTCATTTGTAATTATTTTTGTTACAAATGATGAATTTGTCTTAGTAATACTATGTTTAGGTTTTTTACGTTTAGCAGCGCTGAATAAGGCTGTAAAAGCACCTTCATCGTCGCGTTTCCCTTCGATAGCAGTTGGTATCGGCACATTGCCGCCTAATGGCTGTTTGGAAGTAAAAGAGTTCTGAGTAGGAGATTTGACTGCCGACGCATCACCGGGCGAGACGGGTTCTTTG